ACTATTTATAGATATTATGTTAAAAAAAGAGATATTATTTATAATTATTTATTTATAAAATAACTTAAATTTGCTTAATTATTTAATCAGTAATTATTTTAATTAATTTAATAGCATAAACATAGAATCAAAATACTCTCTTGAGTATTATTTAATTAATTGATATTCTAAAACAGTTTGATTAAAGATATCAATTAGATTTAACTCTAACGTAAATAATTTTTTGCAAATCAATGATATTTATTTTATAATTTTAAAGATTTTAAAAAGTAAAAGAAAGAATTTTAGATTACCTTACAATAAACCTGGTCAAAAGCTTGTTAAATTTCAGTTAATTTAACTTAACTTGGTATTCGTAAGATTTAATTAATTTTTGCTAAATTAATTTTTTTTTTTAATTTTTTAGGAATTTTCTCAATAAAGAAATAATGAAAAACATTAAAGACAACTAATTAAAAAATTAAATTTTTCATTCAATATTAGCTTTGTAAAAGCTGGATATAAAAACTGAATATAGCTTTAAAAGACATAATCTTTTTTATTTATATGATGATTGATTTTTAAATATTTTTTTATAATTATTTTAAGTAATTTTCCACATTTTTCCACTTGAAGTAATTATAAAAATAATATTTATTAATCTTAGGCAAATAAAAAAATTATAGTTGAATGTAGAAACCACACTTTATTTATTCTTATTTTTAATTTACTGCATCTACTCTTAATTTTTATATTTGTTTTAATCAATAAATTTATATTAATACAAAAATTATTATCTCTCTATTTCAATATTCAATTTATTTAAAAACCTAAAAGTTTAATAACTGAGAAATCTATTCTAGTAATCATTTACTATTCAATAAAGTTGCGAATTATTAAATATAAAAATATTTAATTTAAATATAGCTATTAAAAATTTACCAACATAATATTCAAATCTTTCTATTTAAAATAATTTATTTTGTAAATAAAGTAATATTTTTAAAATAATTTAGTTTATTTATTAATTAATTGCTTTGCGATTGTACTTTTTTAAAAAAAGTAAATTTTATAAAAAAAATATTCATCAATAAAACAATATCTGATTTTGAATATCATTAATTTTAACTTATTTTGATAAATATTGAAACAATTTTGTATGGCAAAAAAAATTCTAGTAGCTTGGATTATAATAGGATTTTTATTGGTATATTTTAAAGAATAGTATATTATTACAATAAAACTTATAATAGGTTTAAAATAGTTATTTTAATTTAAATTTTTAATTATTATTTGCCTTTTAATGTGTATATTTGGTTTTTTTAAATAATTTTTAAAGCGAAAATTTCTAAGTTTTATTTTTGATAAAATTTTCTCAACAAAACAAGAAAAAAAGAAAGTTTTAGTAATTCTTTGTCCATCAAATCTAAATTATCTGTAAATTTTTAAATAGAAAATTACATTATGCTATTAAAAT